AAGACTTCAACGCTTGTGCAAAGAAAGGTATAAAATACCGACAATATGAAAGTTAAGACACATGTGCAACATCTGGATATCTTTATTGTAGTAGACGTTTCGCCATCCAGTGGCTTTATCAATACAGATTCTAGGACATAATAGGAAGACAGTAGAACTATATACAAAAGATGAGGTAATCAGTCCCTCGGCCTTGGAGTTAGTGTTCACAGCATCGTGGTGGAGGAGAGTCTGGAGCAAAGGCAAGAAGACTGGCGCTTTTTATAGGCGTCAGTGACCTTCTTCACGGCTGCTGCAACTAACCCATCTCTTTGGGAAGGACCTACTTCCACTGGGGAATCCCGCCTACCAGTGACTGACCTCGTCTGCTGCCCGTCCCATTCACTGACGCCTATAAAAAGCGCCAGTCTTCTTGCCTTTGCTCCAGACTCTCCTCCACCACGATGCTGTGAACACTAACTCCAAGGCCGAGGGACTGATTACCTCATCTTTTGTATATAGTTCTACTGTCTTCCTATTATGTCCTAGAATCTGTATTGATAAAGCCACTGGATGGCGAAACGTCTACTACAATAAAGATATCCAGATGTTGCACATGTGTCTTAACTTTCATATTGTCGGTATTTTATACCTTCTTTGCACAACTTGTCAGACACTGCAACATCATGGAATCTTGGTTCAGAGGACATCTACAAGACCTTCTTCACGGCTGCTGCAACTAACCCATCTCTTTGGGAAGGACCTACTTCCACTGGGGAATCCCGCCTACCAGTGACTGACCTCGTCTGCTGCCCGTCCCATTCACTGACGCCTATAAAAAGCGCCAGTCTTCTTGCCTTTGCTCCAGACTCTCCTCCACCACGATGCTGTGAACACTAACTCCAAGGCCGAGGGACTGATTACCTCATCTTTTGTATATAGTTCTACTGTCTTCCTATTATGTCCTAGAATCTGTATTGATAAAGCCACTGGATGGCGAAACGTCTACTACAATAAAGATATCCAGATGTTGCACATGTGTCTTAACTTTCACTTCAACGCTTGCCCAAACCTTTGGACGATGACCTACTTACATTAGTGGCAGGTCCCACTAAGATCCCGCCTCCTCCTGCTTCAACTCATCTCACCGCAGTATATAAGCCACCTCTCTGGCCCTATGCTGCACTTACTACAAGAGTGATGGACTGAACACATCGAATCCAGGTTGAGGGACTGATTACCTCATACTTCTACTCTCCTTACCCATTTCTACTTTGTATTGGACTGATGAAGCCACTGTGTGGCGAAACGTTTCTTCAATAAAGATTCCCATGTGTTGCATAAGTGTCTCAATTCTTCAAAGATTCCCATATGTTGCATAAGTGTCTCAGTTCTTCTATTTGTGTATTGTTCCAGTCACGGTATTGTGACTTGTGATGTTTATCAGGTAATGTCAGCTGACTACCACCTGCCACATCAATTGGGAATTTAAAGTCAGTGTTTTTATACTACTGTCAGTAGACGCCACCGTCTTCCACATTGGAATTCTTCCACTGATCAATTGTAAAGTTTTGACTTTGACCATACCTTTGAAGGCTTAGTATTTTACGGATGCATGCCAAGCTTTACATTATAATCGTGTATGATAATGCGTAACATCAATAACAGTAGCGCGATGGCTCGCACTCAGCTCACACACTGAGGTCCGGAGTTCGAATCTCCGGTACGGCTGGAAAACATTACGGACGTGTTACCATAAGACACCTGTTGTCCCTGTTCACCCATCAGTATAAAATGGGTACCTGGGTGTTAGTCAACTGGTGTGGGTCGCATCCTGGGACAAAATTGACCTAATTTGCTCGAAATGCTCAGCATAACAAGCGGCTTTATATATAGTAGTATATTACTGATGTCAGCTAGACTTGTACATGTACTTGCAGAAATAAAGATATTTTATTATATTATATTATATACTAAGAGACTTCCAAGGTTTGTTACCTGTTGGTAGACATTCTGAACATATTGTGATATTTTCAGAGTAGATATAATGGAAGAAGTTGACCAAACGGGACTCGAGGTGCAGACAAAATGGGAAATTTGCTGTAAATTGCAGTGGATTAGACGAAATAAACCTCACATCATTTCTAATATCTTATGCAGTACTCACTGAAGTCCCGCAGTAACCTGAAACTTTAGTCTGCCATGCTACAACTGGTGTTAAATTCAGGAGAATGTTAATATTACTTGTGATTCGCCAGTTTGAACATTGGTTAACATTTCCAATAAAGCTAAATACCAAGAACCCCGTTAACTATTATTGGTAGTTATTAGTTTTTATTTAGAATTCATGTAAGAACCGCTCTCCAAATTTATGTACTGACTCGGTTTTAATCTTATCCAGTAGACTCTGTACAAGTCAGATTCTGAAGACAAGAAAATTGATTTTCTTTAAATCAAAGTCGCGTAACCGTGTGCACAGTAAGTCACCATAACTATGTGCACAATAAGTCACCATAATCATGTGTACAACAAGTACCATAACCATGTACACAATAAGCCACCTTAACCATGTGCACAATACCAAAGCAAATAATAATAATAATAATAATAATAATAATAACGATAATAATAATATAATAATAATAATAATAATAATAATAATAATAATAATATCTTTATTTCTACAAGTATACAGTCCTAGCTGACATCAGTGATATACTACTATATAGAAAACCGCTTGTTATGCTGATCATTTCAAGCAAATTATGTCAGTTTTTGTCCCAGGATGCGACCCACACCAGTCCACTAACACCCAGGTACCTATTTTACTGATGGGTGAACATAGACAATCAGTGTAAGGAAACACGTCCAATGTTTCTAACTTTTTCAGAACCCCCCCCCCCAGATTATACGGAATTTATGGATTTTTTCCCTGTGTCCGAAATACAAGTGCCAGCAGAATTCACACTGAAGGTATGAATTCGTTTGTTAGGCCGCAAAAGAATGCCGCTGTGTGTGTGTGTGTGTGTGTGTGTGTGTGTGTGTGTGTGTGTGTGTGTGTGTGTGTTTACCTATTTTTATGTTTTGTATAAGTTTTTGCAGTGACAGGATTGAACCTATGTTGGTGTGGTTCGCCTTCAGTTTTAGAGAAATAAGTATGACCAGGAAAAGGCCTCGGTCAGATGACCAAAAGCTCCAACGGTGAGTCACGAGTTGACTAAGACCCACGTCAGGAAACACTTGTCCTGTAGCCTGATGAACCTTACCTAACCTTCAGTTTTAAGTTGTTACATGAACTGTTAATGTCTCTCAGTGGTTACATCACGCACTGTAGCCCAGTGAATCATATTCTAGTACTTTTGCCATTAATATTTTGGAAATAACTTCCCAGCCTCCTGTCGGTACCTCTTTCTCCTAGCTGACAATTGTTGATTTGTTCGCCCTGTCAAAGGCGCTATGAAATTATTTTTCATCCGTTGTCTCGTATCGTTTCATGATTTTATATATGGTTATCGTGCCCTCGATTTCCTTCTATTAATATTATTTCACTCACAGTAGTAGTCATTTTGTTCTAGTAATGTTTTTAAAGTGTGAATAAATGTCATACTACAAATGCATATTCCAATTTTAGTCTGACTTCTGTTGTACAATGAATATTTTTAATTCTACTATTCATATATTTAAAGGTTATTTTGAAAATTGTCACTAATACATGTGAGTTGAATGAAGTGGAGGAAAATTCTATACACAGTTTCGAGTGCAGGTATGATATGGTTCAGTAGGCCACAAATTAGATATGTCGGTTGAATTAGTTTAACGTATACCTGTCTAGTGGTGGACAGGTAATATGGGGTGTTAATGACCCTCGAGTAGTCGACAGTCAAACAGCCAACTCCCCCCCCCCCCGAATCTAAAACAAGGCATCAATCATGATGATGTCATATAGACATGACCAATACTCGTGGCTGTAGGTTAGGTTAGGTAAGTTTTATCAGAAAACAGGACTAGTGTTTCCTGACGTGGGCCTCAGCCATATGATAACCCGCAGCTGGAGCTTTTGGTCATCTAACGGAGGCCTTCCGCTGGCTTACCTGTCCACAACTTTAAAAATTGTAGTCATAATCATAATCATTCCATTCCGTTCTGCAGCGCCAGCATGAAACCTTTCACAGTCAGACGTAAACAAACCTTACACAATATAGAAGGTAGCACTAGCATCATTCCAGAGATGAAAAAAAAAATAATAGAGGGGAGAAGTAATGAAAACAAATATGGCCACTCCATGAACAATTATTTTTCCCGACTGACTTGCATTTGGATTTTTTTTTTTTGGGGGGGGGGAGGCCTTAACGCTAGCGTAAGGCTTTTGATCCGAAGAACTGGAGCTATGACTCTCATTTTCGGATTAAACCTACTTATCCCCACACATAATAATATAATAATAATAATAATAATAATAATAATAATAATAATAATTTTAACACGCTGCAGCTCCCGTGTTTTGTTTCGCATCAGTATTGCGAGCAAAAATATTAATATTTTTATTGTTATTTTTTATTATTCAGAATACTTTTGTATATACAGCTGCTCTTACATAGGCACGTTTTTCATTGTACAGGTGTGTGTGCTGACAAGACAGGTGTTCTCGGAAATCCTGTTGGACAAAGATAAATTCTGCATGACACGGTGTAGTAATATGAGTCTTACAGCCATTGTGGCTTAGCATCCTCCTGACCCACCACAGGTATACAACCTCATAAATCATTTGTTTATTCCGGTTACTGTATGCAACCTATAAAAAATTTATACACCATCAGGTATGTATTTCTAAGAGTAGGTACAAGTGTTATTTATCTTTGGGTATATACACCGAGAGATGTATTCTTTAAGATATATACACCGAAATGTATTTATATATCAGAGTCTGTACACAGAGATGTGTTTTTCAAAGATTGTGTACAACGGGTGTGTATGATAAATTAGACACATAAGGAATACTTAGGTATTTTTTATTGCCGAAACGTTTCTCCTGCGTAGCAGCCTTCTTCAGACGAATACAGAGGTAACTTTTACACTGATGACAGTGGAAGGAGTGGAAATTTAATTTTAAAGTGTTCAGTCCTTTAGCCTTAATAGACAATGTTCCAGTCCCTTAGCCTTGACATTAGGTGCTCAGTCCCTCAGCCTAAAGCAGAGGCATGAGGATGGAGACATTTACTGGAGCCCAAATATTATTATTTATTATTATAATCAAAAAGAAGCGCTAAGCCACAAGGACTATACAGCGCTGCTGGAGCCCAAATAGAATGCAGCAGTTGGAGATGGCGTTATAGGTGGGTGGAGCCCGCTAGTGGAAGTAGTTCATGCCAATAAATTGTTTAGGAATAGAGTTGAAGATATCCGCTATACCATGACATCATACTGTTGCTGCGTTAGATAAGCATCATATTACTGATAATAAAGTATATATCACAAGGCATACACAACGAAAGGTCTATCTCTAAAGGCCTATATAACAAAAGTATCTCAGGATATATACGGTGAAAGTTTGATCTATCTTAGGGATTCAAGTATTCTTGATAAAAAAAAGGCACAATACCGTGACTGGAAAGACACACAAATAACCCGCACATAGGTATTCTTGATATTAGTGCACAGGTGTATTGAGGACTTAACATGAGCATCAAATTTGTTTTCTAGCCTTTTCGGATGTAAAGGTTTATTTGGTTATTATTGTTTTCTTAATAGAATGTATTAGGCTAGTTTGGTATTAAGTAGGAGTCTGGTAGATTACTGAAATTGAGTTCATTAATTATGTCGTTGTTTGAAACAGTTGAGTTAATGTTTGAAAAAAAAAATGTTATCATCAGTAAATAGTATTTGTGCAGCGATGAAAAGACAGGTGCAGAGAAGACTTTTATTGGGACAATGTTTCGCTCTTTGTAGAACTTTGTAAATCATGATTGATAACGCTCTGCACGAGCGAAACGTCGTCACAATAAAAAAATTATTCTGCACTTGCTTCCTCGTTAATATCGACGTTCATCGCTGTACCCAGCATATGTTTACGTTAAATAATAACATTTAATAACCCGCTGATATTGCAAAACATAGTCTTGTAATATTAAGATTCTTGACTGTAACTAATACTATATAAATAAGGAAGGAAAACGAAAACAATGCCGGCATGTCTGCATAAATAATTCATTAAAATTACAGCCAGATCATAAACTTGTCAATAGTTTATCACCACTGTAACTTGCTGAGCCGCCATAAAACTGAGACCCACTCCCAGAACACACATTATGCGCCTCTGTTGATCTTTTGTCTAAAGAGGCACGACGTGCAAAACAAACTAAACTACACCAACACAGCAGATAACACACTACGACACTTGCAGTCATCGGAAGCAGGAAGAAGAACCTCGTAAGTAAACTGCGTGTATCTTGAAGAACCTCGTGTAGTCGATAAGCTTTAAACCTAGCAAAGAAAGCGTCCTTAATAATATTGTATTACAGTATTTTATTACATCTAAACTACATTTTGTATACTGTAGAAAGAAATAAGGTTGTTTTTGTTTGTAGTATCGTTGGTAGAAGGTATTGGCTAAAGGTGCTAATTATAGCTGTTTTCATGGGAAACTGGTAAACCCGTATGGATCATAGGGTGCTTAGGAAATGAGAGGCAAACAGGTTTAATCCAAGGAAGGGAAGATTCGCTCCAGCTCTTTGAATCAAGGGCTCTTCAGCGACACTTATTCATCTTTCTTGGAGGGATTTAAGGTATGTTATGAGTCAGCTCTTGTTAAATAATGCATCAAATTTGGTTTTCAGAGCTGCTTACCTCTCTAATTACTCTCCCTTCAAGGGGGCGGGGGGAGTGTATGATGCTGGTGAAGGTATCTTGATCCAGTGAATTGTAGCTACCCCTCCCATTCCTCAATCAAACTTAATTACCTATTTTTTCCCAGGCTTTATATGACCCCATGTAAATTTAGCGCTTCCCGATCAATATAATTCTGACAACTTTGAGTCACTTCATATCGGCTGACTTAGGTTAATGAGAACATAATAAAAATATAATGAGAACATAATGAGATAATGAAACAATGAAGACAGCTTCGCGAGATGCAATTTATTATTCTATTCATAGAGGGAGCGCTAAATCTATAGGAGTTATACAGCGCCTGGGGGAATGGAAGACACAGACTCGATTAAAGGCACTGAAGGACAGGTTTAATTCCTTAAATCAAGAGCCCCTGACCATCATCAAGGAACGTCCCTCGTGGGGGGATTAAACTGATAATATCAGTTTATGCTGACAGTTTATTACCACACATTACACGATACATAATACAAGAAATAAAACTTACAGATTACACGAGGCTTATACATGGCTTGCATTAGGTAATGCTGTTTGAGAAGCCTCTTGTACGCGCAAGATTCTGGAGAAAAATAATTGAGCTTCTGAGATCATAAGTGTGCAAAAAGTGTTCAGTGCTCATTATTACTGTATGATGAAAGATGTACTTCCTAACTTGAAACACTGAGATAAAGAATGCAAAGTGACAGTACCGTAACGAACAGTTTACCAAAATTTATCACCACTACTATTACCACTGTTAATGTTACTACCTATTACTGCTACTGTTAATACTACTGCTATACTATTAATACTACAATTACCACTACTACATTAATACTATACTATTAGTATGACATTAATGCTACATTATTACTAGTTATACAATACTATTACCATTATCACTACTACATTACTACTGCTACATTACTATTACCACTACTACTGCTATTACCACCACCACTACTACTACTACCACTACTACATTACTATTACCACTACTACCACCACCACCACTACTACTACTACCACTACTACATTACTTATACTACTATTCAAGATTAATGGACTGAACACATCGACTCAAGGCTGAGGGACTCATTATCTCAAACTTCTCATCTTCCACTCTTCTCTGTACTGGACTGAAGAAGCCACTGGGTAGCGAAACGTTTCCAGAATAAAGATTCTTAAATGTTGCCCAAGTGTCTCAGTTATCATGATCATAGCATCCACTGGAAGTCATGAACGTCACGTCCAGCAGCAGAGGAGTGTGTTTGTGATAGTCTCGTACGCTGCACAATGCTACGTTCCGGAAAGTGGTGAGATGGATAGGTAGTTGGCTTTCTTTTCGTAGTTTGTTGAAAAACGGTATAAATATCCGTAAATTGATAAGTAAAAGACATGTGCAACAGATGGTATCTTCATTGTTGAAACGTTTCGCTTACATGGTAGACAGAAGTGACGAGGTATAGATAATCAGTTCACCAACCTTGGAAATGGTATTTTATACCATTTTCAGTATACCTGTCAGACACAACAGCAACAGAAAAGTATCTTGGTACAGAGGACATCTTCCACAGCTTCATCACTTCATCATGAGTGAGAAGGGTTGGATTCCAGAGGGACCTGCCTCCTGCAACGTCTTCGTGAACTTCCACCTCACCTTCGACAATATTTAAGACTCCATTCTCATGCTTCAGCTTCATACCGTTCTAGACCATAGAGCTGAGTTTTTCTGCAGGCTGAGGGACTGGCTACCTCAAACTATTTCACTAAGATGAACATCAGAATGGTATTTCACTAAGGCTGAAAGACTGATTACATCATCTTTACCTCGTCACTTCTGCTGCCTACAATCCATTCTATATAACTGAAGAAGCCTACCATGTACGCGAAACACTTCAACAATAAAGATACCCAACTGCTGCACATGTGTCTTTCTTCTAGAATATTTTACACACTACGAACACTGCACAAATAGAAGTTTTTTGTTAGATAGTGAAAGGTAGTATCTCATAGAAAGGAATTATCTGCAGCCGTTGCTAAGATACTTGTATAGAATCTGAGGACGAGCAGTTGTAAATATACCCCTTGCGAGAACAGAGAATCTTCACCCGCGGCTAAGATACTCTTCTAGGACCGGAGGATCGGCAGCTGCTACTTGCAAGACATGTAGAGATGTCAGCTTCTCTAGTTCTGCTAGGAGAGAAACAAATATTAGACAAGGGGAAATAGTGTATGTTCAGAAGTGTAGTGATGTGTCTGTAACGGCAAGTGTCCATGTATAAAATACGTTTCAAGTAAATATAGATCAACAGTAACCATATAAGCCTTACATTATCCACACTTCACTCACATTTTCCACATGGGCCTATCAGTGTCCATATAGTTGTGCGAGTGTGCATATGGTTTTCACAGCATCGACATTACCCTGACAATACCGACTTGGTACTGACAGTTTCCACATGGTCACAGTTTTGAGTGTTCACGAGCACTGTACAGTGTCCTCCATATGGTTCTACCAGCGCCTGTTATCTTGACAGTACACATTTGAACTTATCTATATCGGCATCATCCTAGCAGTGTCCCAATTATTCTTACAATGTTGACACTGGCTACGTGATCTTCTAAATACTTGACTGGTGCTGATAATGTCAGGATGAACCAGACCGTATAATCTGCTTATAAAAAAATTAAATTGCAATTTGTTAAATTATGTAAACTGCAAATATATATATATATATATATATATATATATAATATATATATATATATATATATATATATATATATATATATAATATATATATATATATATATATATATATATATATGCAATAAGATCACAGTAAACAGGTGATTTCAGAATATGCAAAACAACCACTGAAAGAATAGAGAAATTCCAAGCGCTTTCGTGACTACTCCTTGATAATGTGAGTAGTCACGAAAGCGCTTGGAAATTTCTCTATTCTTTCAGAGTGGTTGTTTTGCATATATATATATATATATATATATATATATATATATATATATATATATATATATATATATATATATATATATGGTGCAGAAGAAGCTTTATTAGGACAACGTTTCGCCCTCTTAGCTTTATAAAGCCATGACTAATAAATTGTAAATCAGTGGTATTCAATACCTACAAGATGAAGAATAAGACACTTGTGGACTGCCTGCACATGTCAAAGCCTGTCACAGCATGAACCAGTTCAAGAAGACAGCCAAAATGTACCTTATACATAATGTTACAAAAAGGGAGGAAGAGTGATTTCTTGTATATCTAACATATATACACTATAATCTGATCCTATCTTTAATGTCAATGAAAATAACTAATTTTACCTCTCCCCTAGTATATCTCCTGTTATTGTAAATGCTTTTACATAGTTAAGATACTTAACTGTTTTTACCTATCACAAGAACTCCAATGGAAATAAGTCACTTTGACCTTTTTTTGGGAGTTTATCGTAGGTTGTCTACACATGTGCTGCTATGTATGATAATCTGTGTAACTGCATTTGTGTATACCTGAATAAATTTACTTAATCTGGGTATCTTGTAGACGTTTCGCCATCCAGCGGCTTTATCAATACATACACGGATATAACATAAAAAATATAGAAATATATATGTACAGTAGACAGTGGGAGACCAGGTTATCAATCACTTCATGACTAATAAATCTCTAACAGGGCGAAACGTTGTCCCAATAAAAAAAAAAACTATATTGCAGCGTCTTCGACAGTTTCTTTTTTTCTTATGATTTCAATATTCAGAGATTTGGAAATATATGTGTGGGAAAGATTAAAAATATGACGGGGAGGGGGAGGATTATTATTATAATCATGGTGGAGCGTTAAACTCGTAGGATTATACAGTGCATGGGGGGATGGAAAGTATTCAGACTCAATTCAGGGAACCGGAGCACAGATCTAATTCCCTAGATCAAGAGCCTCTCACCAGCGTCAAGGAACCTCCCATGAGGGGAGGAAAGGGAAGGAAGGGGAATTTAGGACTAGATGTGACCGTTAAGAAATTAAATGTACAAGACATTACACTTATTCTCTAAGACTTTTGTGGATCGAACAAGGCTGAAAAACAAGGGTACCAAGTCCTTACCTTGGCCATGGAGAGGTTGGGAAAGACTCGCCAGCACTTGGAAGGCAACTACTACTGGAACCGCTAAGTCATTAATTATCAAGGCGTCTTCTATATCAGTAGATTTTGGACTTCTCTCTCCTTGTTTTGCTTTATAGGGCCTCTCTTAGTGTAGACCGTATCGGCAGTCTCATCCGGGCTCGAAGAGTAGGGAAATGGTGCCGGAATGCCGGTACCGAATCTGGGACCCTGGTACTTAGCTCATTGGCCAAAATGGATCTGTATTTATACTGCATATAACAGAAATGCATAATACATTACAACATCCCATTCGTTATAATGAAGTAAAATGGAGCATAGCTTTAGTAGAGCTTATTATAGTAAAAAGCACAGCAAAATAGTTGCAGAGCTCGGTATAGCAGAGGAAGACACATCATCGCTGCAAAGTTGAATTTAGCAAATGAAAGGACATCAGATAGTTGTAAAGGCTGGTATAGCAAGCTAAAGCACAACATACAGTTACACAGTTCAATATAGCAAGCACAATCACAACATACAGTTCGGTATAGCAAGCATAGCTCGGTGTACCAAAGAAAGCATAACATATTTGCAAAGCTCAGTATAGCAAGCAAAAGCACAGCATACAGCTCAAGCAGGTCGGTATAGCAAGCAAAAGCACAGCATACAGCTCAAGAAGGTCGGTATAGCAAGCAAAAGCACAGCATACAGCTCAAGAAGGTCGGTATAGCAAGGAAAAGCACAGCATACAGCTCAAGAAGGTCGGTATAGCAAGCAAAAGCACAGCATACAGCTCAAGAAGGTCGGTATAGCAAGCAAAAGCACAGCATACAGCTCAAGAAGGTCGGTATAGCAAGCAAAAGCACACCACACCGAGCTGAAGAAGCTCGGTATAATAAAAAAAATGTATAGTATAGAGTTGTCGAACTCGGTATAACAAAGACGTCTACAATGTCAACCACATAGTAAACTTACAGGGAAATAAAAAAAAATGGAATTTGAAGGAAAGAACAGCAAATAGCATTACCTACCCTGATACAAGAGAACATAAGCATAGGCCAGTAGGCCTAGTAGTCCATACAAGGCAAGTCTAACTCACACCCACCTACACTCATTCATGTATTAGTCTAACCTATTTTTAAAACTGCACAAAGTTTTAGCTTCAATAACGCTACTCGGGAGTTTGTTCCACTCATCCACAACTCTATTACCAAACCAATGCTTCCCTATATCATTTCTAAATCTAATTCTTTCCAACTTAAACCCACTGCTGCGAGTTCTGATACAGTATAATATATCACTAAGTTTCTTAAAGTATAATATGGTGGATAAAGACCACGTATAGCTAAAAAAAAAATATTATTGCGGCGTTTCACCTACAAGAGGCTTTATCAAATGCAGGAAATATTCTAGACATACATTTATAATGCTAAAAAAAAAAGAGGAGGTAAATACATCAGATATCTAGGCTAGGCGTGGCATGTTTGTCTTCTACTTGTCAGCTGTGATACTCCTACAGTATAATGCTGGGAAGCAGCAGCATACAGCATGCCATGGCAGGGTTCAATAATATGGCAGCATAGCATTGTGCAGCGTAGCAGTGTTGCAACATTGTGCAGCGTAGCAGTGTTGCAACATTGTGCAGCGTAGCAGTGTTGCAACATTGTGCAGCGTAGCAGTGTTGCAACATTGTGCAGCGTAGCAGTGTTGCAACATTGTGCAGCGTAGCAGTGTTGCAACATTGTGCAGCGTAGCAGTGTTGTAACATTGTGCAGCGTAGCAGTGTTGCAACATTGTGCAGCGTAGCAACATTGTGCAGCGTAGCAGTGTTGCAACATTGTGCAGCGTAGCAGTGTTGCAACATTGTGCAGCGTAGCAGTGTTGCAACATTGTGCAGCGTAGCAGTGTTGCAACATTGTGCAGCGTAGCAGTGTTGTAACATTGTGCAGCGTAGCAGTGTTGCAACATTGTGCAGCGTAGCAGTGTTGCAACATTGTGCAGCGTAGCAGTGTTGCAACATTGTGCAGCGTAGCAGTGTTGCAACATTGTGCAGCGTAGCAGTGTTGCAACATTGTGCAGCGTAGCAGTGTTGCAACATTGTGCAGCGTAGCAACATTGTGCAGCGTAGCAGTGTTGCAACATTGTGCAGCGTAGCAGTGTTGCAACATTGTGCAGCGTAGCAGTGTTGCAACATTGTGCAGCGTAGCAACATTGTGCAGCGTAGCAGTGTTGCAACATTGTGCAGCGTAGCAGTGTTGCAAACATTGTGCAGCGTAGCAGTGTTGCAACATTGTGCAGCGTAGCAGTGTTGCAACATTGTGCAGCGTAGCAGTGTTGCAACATTGTGCAGCGTAGCAGTGTTGCAACATGGCAGCAGAATCCTTGCTTATAAATAATAAAATGTTTGTTGGTGGATTTTTTAATAATTATTGGAAATAT